GCCCACTTTTAGGTGATCTCTGAAAACCTATCTTTTCAGGGAAGCCTATCCTGCCTTCAGCTGATAACCGAATCTTCTATTTCTCCTGTCAGTTCATCCCCCACAGTTATTACTTTTTGTACCACCAGACCCTCCTTCTTAGACTGTAAGCTCCAAAGAGCAGGGCCTCCTAACCCTCTTGCATTGAACTGTATCATTGCTGTATTGTCTCCCTTTATATTGTAAAGCGCTGAGCAAACTGTTAGCACTATATAAATCCTGTATTATAATAATAATAGTGAAGAAAAAAGAGAGAAAGGAAGGGAAAGGGAAGAGAAAAAAAAGGGAGGGGGGGAAAGGGGGGAAAAGGTCACACGAGGTCCAAGGGGAGGCTTGACCATCGGGAAGCAGGGAACCACGCTACCTATCAACCCGAAAAGACCCTTGGTTCATACACACAAAGCAAGTATTAGGAATATTGGAGTTATTCATCTGAGAAGTGGAAGAGGTCCCAATAAAACCTCCTGGTCTTGTGTTCCTTTGATTTGTCTCGGATAGCAGAAGTCAGGTCCTCCATCTGTTCAATGTCATTCACCCTGGCGAATCATTGAGCCACCGTAGGGGTTGCCTGTTTCCATAGCTTCGGGATGCACGCATGTGCAGCATTTAGAAGGTGCTTGAGAAGAGATTTATGATAGCATTTCTTAGACATGGGAGTGAGGTTAAGGAGGACTGCCACTGGGTCATTATGCAGAGATATGTCTGTAAATTTGTCTTTGAGTTTGAGACCCGGCTGCCAGAAAGTCTGGAGTTTAGGGCATTCCCGGAAGATATGGAGGATAGTGCCAGGATGTTGTTCGCATCTCCAACATTGGTCAGATTGATTGGGGAATAGTTTGGCCAAGACCAACGGAGTCCTGTACCAGCAAGCAAAAACTTTATAAGAGGATTTTTGATATTTGCTGCAGAGGGAAGATTTCTACGCAAAGAATAGGACATGCTCTTTCTGGGGTTTGGTAAAACTCATCTGCAGATCCCTCTCCCATTTTGCTAAGAAAAGGGGATCGACAGTTGCATGGAGGCCCAACAGAGTTTTGTAGCAAGACAAAAGGGTACCAGAGGTCAGACCCTCGTTCAAGCAGAGCTCCTCAAAGGGGTGAAGCTGTCAAAGGAAGGTCTAGGCATAGAGCACAAAAAGTTTGAGAGCTGGAGGGCTGTCAGTGATCCAGAGCTATAGGTGTTTGTCTATCTAATAATGTCTGAATGGGGATCCAGTTAGGTGCTCGAAGAAAATGAGAGGCACGGAGTAGCCCTTTTCAGGTCTGCATTATAAACTTTGGGGCCATAAGGTCCGAAGAAAAGCCTGGGTGTCAAATGACTGGTGTCATCGGCGAAGGAAAGCCAGATAAGGAAGAGAGGCAGAAGAACTCATCCATCTCTGCCAATGTAGGGCCAATTACTGGTGGGTCATCAAGTAGGCAATGTGTTATTTGCCCGCCCAAGGTAATCCTGCAAGTGGGGCTTGAGCCATCTCCCATTCCAGTTTAACCCATAGTTTCAGTTTGCCATGTCAACACCAGTCTACTACCTGTGTCATATGTAGAGCCGTGTAATACAGGGCTGGGTCTGAGAAGCCAATGCCACCCTTGAGCTTAGTTCGCAACTGTATTACCCTTCCTATACGTGGACGCTTTCCTCACCATATGAACCGTATGAACGCTGAACGCACAGCTTGGAAAAAAACTCTGGGGTATCTTTAATCAGTAATGTTTGCAGCAGGTACAAGAGTCTAGGCATTCATCTTAAGTACATTACAATGGACAAACCAGGAAAGAGCCAGGTTGTCCCATTTCCGGAGATCTGCCATCAAGCGTAGTCAAGAAGGGTTGGAAATTCAAGGAAAAAGCATAATTTATATTGAAAGGAATTTTCATCCCTAGATATTGTATTGAATGAGTAGCCCATTTAAATGGGAAAGAGGGACAGAGACTCGTCAGTGTGGATTCTAGTATGGAAATATTTAAAGCTTCCATTTTTTGGAGGTTAACTTTAGAATTAGAAAATGCCCCATATTGCTTCAGCTCTTGTAGCAAAGAGGGTAGTGGCATCAGGGGGTTAGCAATAAAAAACAAGAGGTCATCAGCATAGGCCACTGCTTTGTTTTGATACGCATCCGCCTGTACTCCACTAATATTTGGGTTGATGTTTATGTGGCGAAGGAGAGGCTCAAGAGTGAGGACAAATAGTAAGGGTGAGAGTGGGCAACCATGTCTAGTGCCATTTGATATTGGAAAAGGGTCAGAGTCAAGGCCATTCACTGGGACAGTGGTGGTGGGGTTAGTTTAAAAGGCTGAGATTCATTGCAGAATGGGTGTTGGCATCCAAAGAGAGCGGAGTGTCTCCTGAAGAAACCTCCAGTCCACCCGATCAAACGCCTTTTCAGTGGCTGTGGACAAGAGCAATAGATGACTGTTAGCTTTCTCAGTAACATTCAGAGTGCAAATGGTGTTGTCTCTGGACTCTGGAGTTTAATGTCGCTGTTCAGTAGGGAAATTGATCGATAACTGGAGCACATCAGTGGGTCTTTGCCAGGTTTTGGGATCACAGCAATAGAAGCACATAACATGTTCTGTGGAATAGTGTGTCCCTCTAGGATAGCATTGAAGGATGAGAAAAAAATGGCGTGCCAAGTAGTCCTGGTGTATTTTATAGTAAAGCAGAGAGGATCCGTCAAACCCGGGGGCCTTCCCCGGTTGGGTAGAAGCAATGGCTGTGGTTAATTCTTCAGTCGTAATGGCTAGGGAAAGTGTCTCCCGTTTCCTCCGGGGTGAGAGTTGGAAGATTAGCATCCCGTAGGCATTCCCAAATGGACTCAAGGGAAGGGCAAGTCGGGGTGGAGGGGGAGACCGAATCTATGTTGTAGCGTTTGAGGTAAAAGACATGAAAACAAATCAAAATCCGTGGTGTCGCACTCCACCAACAGTACAATTAAATTTACTGTACATATAAATATATGAATAATATATATTATATGAGATGAATTGCAACAAATTATATTGAGTCCTGAGACTGAGTCCTGATATATTTCCACAGCTTGATATAACAATCACGTTAGTGTTGCATGCATATCTTTGAAGAGTCTGTGATCCTATGGTGACTTCTAATGGTGTATTACAAAACAAATATAGTCCACCAATTCATATATAGTGTGCTCCTTTAACAGTTGTGCTCTCACCTGATGTTAAGTGAGGTCATACAAGCTTGTGTCCCTTTAATTAGGCTCAGAGGTGGACAAATGGAGAAATCCCTGTATTCCAGATGGATGGATGGATAATGGAGTTTTTCCTTTTTCCCAGCAGGGGGTCTCGCCATTTCCTAGGGATCTTTTTCCTGGAGGTGGCTGGATGGATGGAGTTATCCCTCTTCCCACTAGAGGGTCTCTTGATTCCTTTTAAACTTTTTCCTCCATGTGTATTTATACCATGCAATTAAAAAAAAAGAGAATATAGTGCCTTATCTTCTTTTTTTAAAAATGTATTAAATAAATGTAGTATAAAGATAAAAAACGCTTTTTGTACAATTTTGCATGATCCTTATAAGGTACACGCTACTAGATTTGTAAAAAAAAATCCACTTCCTAGAGTACAGTACAGGGCACAGGATCCTCCATTCTGTTCTTATAATCTCCCTATTGCTGCCTTCAAAAGTGAAGCTAGCTGGGAGCCATAGGGTTATATCGGGAGATGTCTATGAGCTTTCGTTGTTTTGGGTTTTTTTTTGCCAATGTTCAATCCCCCTGAAGATAGCTTCATGAAACCCAGACATTATGATTTTAAGTGATTATAAAGATTACATTTTTACAAAATGACATTTCATAATTACCTGCTCTGTGCAATAGTTTTGCACAGAGTGATCTTCGTGCGTGTATAGACACACATAGTGCTGCTTCACCCCATCCCCCTCTCTCTGTTCACAGTATTTGATTGGCAGCAGTAGGAGCCAGTGCTTCTCATTGCTGCCCAGTCTCCTGTGAGAAGAGAGAAAAGCTGCTGCAGACGGGCACAGCACAAGGTCTAGATCAGGGGTGGGGAAACTTTTTGACTTGAGGGCCGCAATGGGTTCATATATTGGACCCGGGGGCCGGACCAAGAGTAGATGAATGATGTGTATGTGTCATCCATAGTAAGTATAGTAATATTCCCCCCTAGTAAACATAGTAATTCATCCACCATATAGTAATTCATCCCCCATAGTAATTCATCCCCCATAGTAATTCATCCCCCATATAGTAATTCATCCCCCCTATAGTAATTCATCCCCCATAGTAATTCATCCCCCATATAGTAATTCATCTCCCATAGTAATTCATCCCCCCTATAGTAATTCATCCCCCCTATAGTAATTCATTCCCCGTATTAATTCATCCCCCATATTAAGTCCCCAAGTCCCCCCTGTGTCAATTCACTTACCTTTGCTCCGCGCGTTCCTCTCGCCGTGTTCCCGCGCCGTTCCGGTGTAGCATGAAAATCGGTCTCCTATGAGGATCTGTCCCCCTCGACGTATCTGCGCATGTGCCAGTTTCAGGCATTAGCAGCCGATCGGCGATCTCCGGCACATGCGCAGATACGTCGAGGGGGACAGATCCTCATAGGAGACAGATTTTCATGCTACACCGGTCTTCAGGGCGGACTGTGAGAGGAGCCTAGCGGGAACCTAGCTCCACGGACCGCATTAAAAGGTCCGCCGGGCCGTATACGGCCCGCGGGCCATAGTTTGTCCATTGCTGGTCTAGATTGTTCTCAGGTAACTATTTAAGGGGGGGCTGGGAGAAGCAACTTTTCAAAGGTTTTTTACGTTAATGCATTCTTTGTTTTAGTTTTTTATAACCCCTTTAAAGAAGCCTCTGTATTGTACTCAGTTAAACAAATTTTACTGGTGAATCAAAAATTTGATTTTTGTTAACATAGAAGTTCTACATAAAACATTAGTCTTAAATGGGCAATGTTCATTCTGCCTGCCAGGTACCTACGATCTGTGGTACAAAATCTGCTTCTGATACAGCGATTCAAGAAACTCAACACAGAACATTCCCCACGGCAAGAGAGGCTGAATTTCTGGATGGACATAATTGTAGAGGCAACAAAAGAGTCTACAAATGGACTAAGATTTCCGGTAAAGAACTATTTAATGATCTGCAAAGATAAAATGTAAAAAATAATCTTGTAACTGGTTTGTAAATGTTACTTGCAGAGAATAAAAAACAAATTTCCAAACCTTCAGCCTAGGTCTAGTTAACACCATCTCTGGCTACCAATGATAAGAAATTACAGAATGTGGTGTTATAAGCCAGATCAGACCTTGTCCTATAATAATGTGTGTCCTATAATAATGTGCTGAGACTATTAAAAGCTCTTCAGTCTACATAAAACACAAATTTCAGTTTTTATTTGATGCTGAAGATTTGATTCACCTTATGTCATCCGAAAGACTGAAGATGAAGAATCCCTGTGCTTGAATTCCTAGTCCTACATATCTGTTCCATCATTATGAGGGGGTCCAGTTGTGTCTTATATTTTATGAAAAATGCAACAGGATGAATAGAAATACTGCTGTAGTAGGACAGAGAAGGTTGGCGGGAACAAATCCAGGAGCTGTGGTGGGAGGAGTTCACTGCAGGAGCCTCCAGGAGATACGAGAAACCAATGAGCAGCCAAACATGATTTATAACAGAGATGTCACTTTTAGGCCACTTTTGACAGTCACTGTCACAGTTGACAGTCACTGCTGCACTTTTGAAGAGTGATACGCTGTGGATCCCTTTTCAGAGGCAGTTTTCAGGTGTTCAGGAGACAACACCGCTGCCACCTGAATGCCTGATTTTTTATTTTAGCTGGTTTTTTCAGTCGAAGGGGGATTTGCATTCCTCATTATCTTCATTTGGAGGTGGGTGGTAGGGGGCAATAAAAATGCAGATTAGCTGCCTATTTTTATCACCCCCTTGTTGCCCATGTGAAATGGGCCTTAAAAAGAACTGACTCATTAACAAATTTATTATTTGAGAGCCTGACATTTGTATGACAAACAACTGACCTTTCGTTATACTTCTAGGTTCTGGTCTTGGAGCCTACAAAGGTTTATCAGCCCTCATATGTCTCTATAAACAAGGAGGCTGATGAGAGAACAGTTTCATTATGGCACGTGTCCCCTGTGGAAATGGTAAGAGTCAGATTTGTTTGTTTATATTAGTCAAATTTTGTTTCCAGTTACTATCTGGTGTCCATTGTCTCTCTAAAGCTTAAGCACACAATAGACAGTTGTTTTTTGTTCCATTCAGCCGGCTGGTTGAGCAGACAGTTTCCTCCATTTACACAAACAAGATGGATGGAGGAATCTCCCCACCCTGGGACAGTGTATTTTGACAGGGGGAGCCGCTATTGTCAGATTATACTGATCAGCAGCTGCTGATCAACAAACATTTTCTAGTATGTCCCTTTAACAAAATTGGTCAAATTTTGATCAGTGTATGGCCAGCTTAATATTTACCAACCATTCAAGATCCATCCTGTACTGAATTTCAGTAAAATGACTCCTGATTGGTTGTTTGGAGTTCTGAATTTAAGAATCAGCACTTAAAAATAAGTCTTTACTAAATAAGAGTGATGCTGTAGTTACTCAACTGTGGTTGTTTGCCAACTTTCTTGGTATTTTTCACATTTTAGCATATATATGTAAAAGGGTTGATGTGGATTTACAGTGGATATAAAACATCTACACACCCCTGTTAAAATGTCAGGTTTCTATGATGTAAAAAAAATGAGACAAAGATAAATCATTTCAGAACTTTTTCCACCTTTAACCTCCAAAGGATTTACCCCCCTTTCTGACCAGGCCATTTTTTGCGTTACAGCGCTGCATTACTTTAATTGACAATTGGGCAGTCATGCAAAGCTGCACCCAAAAGAAATTTACATCCTTTTTCCGACAAATAGATTTATTTTTTGACAGGGGAGAGAACTGTGTTGTTTACATACAGTTCTCTAGCCCATCGGTAATACTTGGTGATCACCAGGTTCCACGAGTAATCACCGGCCGGGACCCGGTGATTGACAGCTGAGGCCGCGAATGGCGGCGCAGGTAGGGCTTGCGTGCGCCCACTATCCGGCACTGCAAAATCACGTATATATACGTGATTTTGCGTACCCCTGCCGCCCTGTAGCAGTATTTCTGCTATAGGGCAGAGGGTAAGCGGTTAATGTAACCTATAAATTGTACCAACTCAGTTGAACAACAAACTGAAATCTTTTAGGGGGAGGGAAGTAAAAATAAACAACTAAAATAATACAGTATGATTGCATAAATGTGCACACCCTTAAACTAATACTTTGTTGAAGCACCTTTTGATTTTATTCCAGCACTCAGTTTTTTTGGATATGAGTCTATCAGCATGGCACATCTAGACTTGGCAATATTTGCCCTCTTTTCCTTGCAAAAACCTTTCAAATCTGTCAGATTGCGAGGGCATCTCCTGTGCACAGCCCTCTTCAGATCACCCACAGATTTTCTATCGGATTCAGGTCTGGGCTCTGGCTGGACCATTCCAAAACTGATCTTATTCTGGTGAAGCCATTCCTTTGTTGATTTGGATGTATGCTTTGGGTCTTTGTCATTCTGAAAGATGAAGTTTCTCTTTGTGTTCAGCTTTCTAGCAGAAGTTTGAAGGTTTTGTGCTAATATTGACTGGTATTTGGAACTGTTCATAATTCCCTCTACCTTGACTAAGGCCCCAGTTCCAGCTAAAGAAAAACAGCCCCAAATCATGATGCTGCCACCAGCATGCTTCACTGTGGGTATGGTGTTCTTTTGGTGATGTGCAGTGTTTTTTTTTGCGCCAAACATATCTTTTGAAATTATGGCCAAAAAGTTAAACTTTGGTTTCATCAGACCATAACACATTTTCACACATGCTTTTGGGAGACTTCAGATGTGTTTTTGCAAAATTTAGCTGGGCTTGGATGTTTTTCTTGGTAAGAAAAGGCTTCCGTCTTGCCACTCCACCCCATAGTCCAGACATATGAAGAATACGGGAGATTGTTGTCACATGTACAGTGGGGCAAAAAAGTATTTAATCAGCCACCAATTGTGCAAGTTCTCCCACTTAAAAAGATGAGAGAGGCCTGTAATTGGAATCTTAGGTAGACCTCAACTATGAGAGACAAAATTAGAAGAAAGAATCCAGACAATCACATTGGCTGATTTGGAAAGAATTTATTTGCAAATTATGGTGGAAAATAAGTATTTGGTCACCTACAAACAAGCAAGATTTCTAGCTCTCACAGACCTGTACCTTCTTCTTTAAGAGGCTCCTCTGTCCTGCACTCATTACCTGTATCAATGGCACCTGTTTGAACTTGTTATCAGTATAAAAGACACCTGTCCATAACCTCAAACAGTCACACTCCAAACTCCACTATGGTGAAGACCAAAAAGCTGTCGAAGGACACCAGAAACAAATTGTAGACCTGCACCAGGCAGTGAAGATGGTCATCATCAAGTGCTGCAGGAATTATGGCAAGTACTGGCTGTGTGGTACAGTGGGGCAAAAAAGTATTGAGTCAGCCACCAATTGTGCAAGTTCTCACACTTAAAAAGATGAGAGAGGCCTGTAATTGGCATCATAGGTAGACCTCAACTATGAGAGACAAAATGAGAAAAAAAAATCCAGACAACCACATTGGCTGATTTGGAAAGAATTTGTTTGCAAATTATGGTGGAAAATAAGTATTTGGTCAATATCAAAAGTTCATCTCAATACTTTGTTATATATCCTTTGTTGGCAATGACAGAGGTCAAACGTTTACTGTAAGTTGTCATGTTGGAAGACCCAGCCACGTTTCATCTTCAATGCCCTTGCTGATGGAAGGAGGTTTGCACTCAAAATCTCACGATACATGGCCCCATTCATTCTGTCCTGTACATGGATGAGTCATCTTGGTCCCTTTGCAGAGAAACAGCCCCAAAGCATGATGTTGCCACCCCCATGCTTCACAGTAGGTATGGTATTCTTTGGATGCAACTCAGCATTCTCTCTCCTCCAAACACGACGAGTTGTGTTTCTACCAAACAGTTCTATTTTGGTCATTCATCTGACCATATGACATTCTCCCAATCTTCTATTGGATCATCCAAATGCTCTCTAGCAAACTTCAGATGGGCCCGGACATGTACTGGCTTAAGCAGGGGGACACGTCTGGCACTGCAGGATCTGAGTCCCTGGCGGCGTAGTGTGTTATTGATGGTAGCCTTTGTTACGTTGGTCCCAGCTCTCTGCAGGTCATTCACTAGGTCCCCCCGTGTGGTCCTGGGATTTTTGCTCACCGTTCTTGTGATCATTTTGACCCCACGGGTGAGATTTTGTGTGGAGCCCCAGATCGAGGGAGATTATCAGTGGTCTTGTATGTCCTCCATTTTCTAATTATTGCTCCCACAGTTGATTTGTTCACACCAAGCTGCTTGCCTATTGCAGATTCAGTCTTCCCAGCCTGGTGCAGGTCTACAATTTGTTTCTGGTGTCCTTCGACAGCTTTTTGGTCTTCACCATAGTGGAGTTTGGAGTGTGACTGTTTGAGGTTGTGGACAGGTGTCTTTTATACTGATAACAAGTTCAAACAGGTGCCATTGATACAGGTAATGAGTGCAGGACAGAGGAGCCTCTTAAAGAAGAAGGTACAGGTCTGTGAGAGCTAGAAATCTTGCTTGTTTGTAGGTGACCAAATACTTATTTTCCACCATAATTTGCAAATAAATTCTTTCCAAATCAGTCAATGTGATTGTCTGGATTTTTTCTTCTAATTTTGTCTCTCATAGTTGAGGTCTACCTAAGATTCCAATTACAGGCCTCTCTCATCTTTTTAAGTGGGAGAACTTGCACAATTGGTGGCTGACTCAATACTTTTTTGCCCCACTGTACCACACAGCCAGTACTTGCCATAATTCCTGCAGCACTTGATGATGACCATCTTCACTGTGTTCCATGGTATATCTAATGCCTTGGAAATTCTTTTGTACCCTTCTCCTGACTGATACCTTTTAACAATGAGATCCCTCTCATGTTTTCGAAGCTCTCTGCGGACCATGGCTTTTGCTGTTAGGATGCGACTAAGAAAATGTCAGGAAAGACCTACTAGAACAGTTGAACTTTATTTAGGGTTAATCAGAGGCACTTTAAATGATAGAAATGATGGCAGGTGTATACTGACTCTTATTTAACACGATTTTGAATGTGATTGATTAGTTTTGAACACAGCTACATTCCCAGTTATAAGGGGGTGTGCACACTTATGCAACCACAATAGTTTCGTTTATGTTTACATCCTTCCCCCCTAAAAGATTTCAGTTTGTTTTTCAATTGAGTTGTACAGTTTAAAAGTCACATTAAAGGCGGAAAAAGTTCTGAAATTATTTATCTTTGTCTCATTTTTTTACAGCGCAGAAACATGACATTTTTACTGGGGTGTGTAGACTTTTTATATCCACTGTACATAGGTTTTCTTTTGTTATATTTTTATTTTTCTCCATTGTTCGAGTTTGTCAACAATGCACAAAATACATTATTTACTGAACATGGAAGCATGCACTTAAAATGGAAAAATATAGCAAGACCTTTTGATAACGCGCTGTACTGATCAGCACTAAACTAGGGTTCACATTAGGATAGTGTCCCCAAAAACATAGCATTAGTGGGATCAGCCCTGGCACCTCCCAGCACCTGTGTTTAGCCCCTACGTTTATTCCCCCCTCTTCTCCCCCAGCAAGTGCAGTGTCAGTAGGTCACTCACTTGATACATTGCAGACAAAACTGCAGTGTTTGCAGAATCAGGCTTGATCTCTGTTAGCACTTGCTGGTAAATTTTTTCGTAGCAGTTCAAGCAGTCCCTGACAGCCAGGTGCTCTTTTTCCCGTGAATCGCTCTAGGTACCTATAAATTTAGTGGCCAAAATGTCAAGGTACTCTAGTGAAGAGGCCTACAGGATTCTGAGCATGTCAGATTAGAGCGAAGAGCGAAGAGGAAGACTCACTGATACAATCAGCCTCAGAATACGAACCTGTAGACAGCAGTGACACCCTGACATATAGCTCAGACGATGGAGAAGAGGTCCTTGCTAAGATCAGGCGCACCTAACCCTGTTCCCAGGTTGCTGAGATGTTACCAACGCATG